TAAAATACATTATTCCAGAACTCTCATTAGCATTTGCAATGCCTGTGGTTTGTTTGCAAGTTTAAAGAATCACAAGCAACACAGAAATTCGTGCTGGTTCTCTTTAAGGGAAGAACTGGCCTTCCATTACATGTGACCTTTTATTCCCAAAGACTATGCAGTCTACAGTCAGATGACCTTTATTGTGTGATAGTAAGGAGTAAAACGGTCTTTTAAACAGTAAAGATGTGTCCTTTGTTGTACACAAAGTACCCTCCTGGGGAAATCTATTTCGGACTAAAATGTCACCTCTGTTTAATAGCAGGAGCAAGAAATAAATGGAACATCGCTTTTGCCCAGGGCTCTAAATAAAATCCCTGCAGTTTCTTCCTGACCAACCTTGGTCTGGGACTTGGTATTAATTTATTGACCCTTAATGGCAGAAGGAGAAAATATTTTGTGGAGTTAGCCCTTTCATAGGCCACATGAAATAAAATAAAACTTACAATTCACCCCTCACACCAATCAAGATGGATTGTTTTTCTTAAGATGATACAGAGGAGATTGTGACATAATGCAGATTTGTTCATATGCCTCAAAGCTGGTCCAAAAACATAATGTTTAACAGTTGAAAGTATTAATGATTGATACAGTTGACAGTACTAAGTGCATAAAACCCTGCATCGGAAGGGTGTCAGGACGGTGTTGGCGTGGGGTTGGGGTGGCCGACATACAGCTGCCCCACCCCATCTCTGCCTCCAGGCTGGCCCTTTGGGCTGGTCTGCAGAGGCCCTTAGATGGTCTCAGGATTTTGCACAACTATAGACAGATTTTAAACTGTTTTAATTGTTAAACTGTTTATATGTTTTTTGCCTGCTTCACATGTTCCTCACTACTTTACATTTATATTGCCTGAAATTGAATTTGAGAGCCAGAGTGGCATAGTGGTTTGAGTGCTGGACTACAACTCCAGAGAACAGGGTTCGATTCCCCGCTTGCCCATGAAACCCCCTGGGTGACTTTTAGCATGTCACACTCTCTTAGCCTCAAAGGAAGGCAATGACAAATCTCCTCTGAACAAATCTTGTTAAGAAAACCTCATGATAAGTTTACCTTACGGTTGCCACAAGTCAGAAATGACTTGAAGGCACACAAGAACAGCAACAACAACACTTGGATTTAGTTGTATGCTGCCTGGTGTAGGATATAAATATTTGAACAAGCAAACAAGGGAAGATATTTGATATGTATTCCATTTATTCTACAATGATCTTATTGTTCAATCCTGACCATATACACTCACCTTTTACCTGGGATAGGATATAGAAGTGTAGACAAAATAGTTTATAATGAAAATGTATTTTCCTCTTCAAATCTTCCAATACTGTATAGTGATATACCAGGCAGAACAAAGAAAGACGTGTTTCTGAATGTGTGTGTGTGTGTGTGTGTGAGAGAGAGAGAGAGAGAGAGATTTGAGTCATCTTCTTGGTTTAGTTAGGCTAAATGAAGCCTTTGGTTCTCAAAATGCAAGATACCCTCTGAATACCAAATGGTGGATACAAGCAACAGGAAAGGGCTTCATCAACTATATGCCTCAGGCTTTTCTGAGCTGCCTATGACTGGAAACAGGAATAGTGTATTAGATGGCGCTATGCTTTATCCCATCAGGGCTCTTCTTATGACTTTGGGGTGTTAATTCTTTAGTCAACAGAAAATTTTGATTTAGTGAGCTGAGATTGATTCGACAGGTGGTTTGAGTTAAGCACATTTTGAGTGGCAGCAAACTAGGAAGGCAAGGAAGACTACAAAAGATGAGCAAAATAATTTTGATTTCAAAAAAGTATGAAAAGCAATGTGCTCCCAGCTCTTTGGTGGGACTACATTTAATGCCAAATATATCTATCTGTACAGCAGGAACATTGAAAAGAATGAGCTGCTTTACAATCCAGACACTTCATAGGGTTTTAGAAGTTGGAACCTTTTCAGAACATTTCAAGACCTTAGCACCTCCCACAGAGCACTTTTACTAACAAATCACAAGGTTCAATAAGTCATACTTCAGAAGAAACTAGTCACAGTCTTGGGAATTATCTGGTAAATTCTGTAAAAATCTTTTATTATTTGGTACATGGCCTCATGACCCTGTGCTCATAGCTTTCCCGTCAACAATGCCCAGCTCTTCTTACTTGCATACCCTGTTTTACAGGGAGATAGTCGTCTGTTTAAAAGGCTGTCCAAGCCAAGTCCAGTTTATGGACAAGAATGTTATGAAGGACAAACAGGGAGAGATCTTGAAGTTGCCCATTAACACTCAGCACTGGGATAACATGCTGAGAACACACAGAATTCACCTGGTTACATACATCCCCACAACGGTGAGAAGCATTATTCTTCTAGTTATGACAGTCATCATTTCTAAATATGCATCAATATGTATAAATAAGCACATGCAAATAGTATGTGCACCTATACCTAATTTTACCTTCCTTTCTAGTGCTATATAAGTGGCCACCCTTCTTCTTATCCTTTGTTGTTGTTATGTGCTATCAAGTAAGCATCAATGTAATGGTGACTCTATGAATACTAGACTTCCAAGGGACTTGGTCATCAGTACCCCTGGTTACAAGGAAGGGATAAACTCTGGAACCCATCTCAAAAACACTAGAAAACAACAAATGTTGTGGGCTAAAGAACCACTAAATATCTGG